GTGTGGGTAGCAGTTTAAAAACAGGTGAGGAGGCTCGGCACCTGTGGCTCAAGTGGCTAAGGCGCCAGCCACATACACCTAAGGTGGTGGGTTCGAATCCAGCCCAGGCCCGCCAAACAACAATGATGGCTGCAAACAAAAAATAGCTGGGTGTTGTGGCAGGTGCCTGTGGTCCCAGCTACTTGGGAGGCTGAGGCAGGAGACTCGCTTAAGCCCAGGAGTTGGAGGTTGCTATGAGCTGTGATGCCACAGCACTCTACCCAGGGGGACAGCTTGAGGCTCTGTCTCAAAAAAAAAAAAAAAAAAAAAAAAAAAACAGGTGAGGAGCATGAAAAGCACATGGGAAAAGAGTTTAGGCCTAGAGCAGGCATCCTCAAACTACGGCCCGTCTAGGACATTTATCTGGCCCGCAGAGTGTTTTTGCCGCTGCTGCCTGTCCTGCTTAGTAGCCGACTCGTCCTGGGGCCCACAGTCCGGCCCTCCAATGTTCTGAGGGACAGTGAACTGGCCCCCTGTTTAAAAAGTTTGAGGACCCCTGGCCTAGAGATTCTTTCAGCGTGATTAGAGAACAAAGTAAGTAAAAGGAGGTAAAGAGAAATAAGGTGTTAAGTATGGCTGGCCACGAATGCCAAGCTATGTACGCTTAATACAGTAGAAGCTCCATAGCTGACCACCCCTCTCTATTGACCACCTCCTTAAGGTGACCTAATTTTCAGAGACTGGACATGCCCCACATGTACGTATCAGTATAGTGGGCCTAGTTCCTTATGTTGACCACCTCAGTATGTTGACCAGTTAGTTAACGAGGTTTTACTGTATTTCCTTTAATACTCACAACAGCCACATGAGGTCAGTATTACTTAATTTCCATTCAATTCCCCTGTTGTAGATAAGAAACTGAGACCTGGAGAAGTTAAGTCATTTGCTTGAGTTAATCACTTAAGAACCAGAGATTGGTCAGACCAGAATTCAAACTCAGGTCTTTCTGATTAGTTGCCAGGCTGTCTGACGCCAGAGCCTCCAGGTTTTACAGATACCCTGCAATGGTTCCCTTGAAGGGATAACGCAGGGGAATTGGCACAATTAAAGCCACATGAAGTTACTCTCCTAGAAAGATCTGGAGGCAGATAACTGCAGACTAGGCCCAGTATTACATGAGTGTGGAGATCAGAGTTGCAACTTCTTTGTGAAACATTGTAATCCTCATGCTAAAATGAGATTTCTGACCAAATTTAAAAACAAACAAACAGAAACTATACTAACATTGAGGCCAAAGAACAAGTCCCCCAAACTGTAAAGCTATCAACTCCACCATCCTAGGTCTCAAGAGGGTCTAACCAGATGAAGCCCATCCTTACCAAATAGGCCTGTACCTGCTGCTGGAACGTCCAGGGAGCAGAGTCAGGAGAACTGCAGAATGTGACCTACAAACTGACTGATAAAGGCCCTGTCACCGTGGCATGAAGACCTTTGGCCTTTCCCTGCTAGACACCACAGCTGACTAATCCCCAGTCAGCTGACCATAGTCCAGATTGTCCCAGACAGAGGGCATACACTACAAGTCTCTGTACTTTTTTGAGCCCCAGTTTCTACATCTATAAAATGACAATGATCATATCTGCCTATCGAGAAAGATCCTATGAAACCATGGGCATCAAGGCTCTTAGCAAAGACAATTGTCAGGGGTGTCTAACCACTGCCAACAGGTCCCATGCTAATTATCTGAGGCCTGTTTTGCTTATCTGTGGTGTTAGACATCATGAAAAGATTGAACGAACTTTCCCTTTTTTTTGAGACAGAGTCTCACCCTGTTACCTAGGGTAGAGTGCCACAGCATCAGCTTAGCTCACAGTGCCCTCAAATTCCTGGGCTCAAGCAATTCTCCTGCTT